ACGATAAAGTTAGTCATCAGCTAGTCTATAATAGCCAATACATCATTATAATAATAATAATAATAATAATAATAATCTCAGGACAATTCACACAGATGCTATTCAGCTAAAGCTTGTGTTATGGGTACTAGATAACTGATACAAATACATAGATAATTTGTTTTTTTCGTAAATACATACATATTATACATAGAAAATACCCAGACCGATACAAACAATCATACTCATGTATACAAATGCGAGGAATCGAACCCGCGACCATCGGACGTAAAGCGGTGTGCTAGACCGCTAAACCACCGAGGTCGTCGATCGTCGGTCGTCATTAGTCAATATACCCATCACAGATGCTATTCAAGGACCATAGTTAGCAATGTCTATAACATTGGTAGCAATGAGGCTTTACCATTTCATTTAATCCCCCTCGAAAACCATCGTGTTTAATTATTTACTTCGTCCTCGTTTATTAACACATCACTAGTACGCTATCAGTGTAGACACGATAACTATTCAATAACACTCACAAAGAAACTTAAAAAAGAAAATATGCATTTTAGAAATTTCTATAGTTGACATGACACAATAAACTTGAATCTACTTTTGTGACTGTTCGATATGATAAAACTAATTGATACTTAAAAACCGGCTTCAAATTATTTAAATAGAAAATCGTGACAAAAGATTTGTTGTCACGATTGATTATATCAGTAATATAAATTGGTTGATAGCACTTTAAAACCAAATTACTTAGACACTGGCCATCGAGAATACCGCTTTAGAAAAATAATTTATATAACATGGCAACACCGTTACGTACTTAGGTAATAATGGCGGTAAACGAGCAGCTGGTCGTATACTATAGATCTTGACGTTGGTTCGATTAATTCACGTTCTTAATAGCTCACTATCTTGCAATTATCGTATAAATTTAAAATTTTGTGATACATATTTAAATTTCGAACACGTCATTGGACAGTTACAATAAACATTATGAAACTAGTAATTTGCAAGTCACTGTTTTACATTTTTCTCTTTGTATGCTAAATATGTCTATATTTTTTTATTACATTGACCTTTTACTGTCAGTTCTCAATTTAATTTCCCATAAATCTATTAGTACAACTCAATGTAATGTTAATGTATGCACATCGCGTTCATTTTATAGAGAGAAATTGTAGTATCTAAGTTATTTATGTAGGTACAACATTGTAGAGGAAAAATAATCATATAATGGATCAATAGTTTGATTATAATATTATACACTTAGTAGCTATGTACCGCGGTTTCACCCGCATGAAATTTATAGCCCATTATTATTCTATACTACTGTAAAATTTCATCAAAATCCATCTATCCATCCATACTCACAAACCTTCGCGTTTATAATATTAAATAAGGTTATCCCGATCCTGAGTTAAAATGTTACTTACATGCTTATTTATATAGGCAGCAATACTCGTAGATATGAAATATGATGTGAATATACTACGTATTTATTACATTTTTCTAATTATATTTTGATTTAAAGTATGAAAGATCGAGGTGAAACTTATAAACTTATATTCTCAAACAAAAGCTAGTAAATTGATACAGCTATTTCAAATTTAAGTCTATATGAAATAAATGATTCGTAAAATTGTCTAAACATACTCATTGCACACAAAAGACTCTGTCATGACAGAATTGATCCTCTACACGTTCGAAATTCAAAAACTTTAAGAATACGTTCGCCATTTTGAATTAATCAATCGGATCGGATTATTGATGAGTTTACAATATTATGTGTAAGTTATTTTCTTCTTCGAGCCGTTATTGAGGCAGTAATTGGACGTGATGTCGATCTGGCAGTCATAAATACCAATCTATGTACAAAAAATAAATGTCGGACGCGCAGAGGGAAATGATTCCGTGCCGTGATTTCAATTATTAAATAATAAATATCGGACACAGTTTTACTATAAGACAAATAATAGATATAAAATAGTCTCATTTGAAAATAGAATTAAAATAATAATCACAGTGATTTTTCATAAATGAGGATCATTATGACCTACCATTTGACATACGTAATTATTAGGCACTATTTGTGTTAGAACTTAAATACAGGGTTTATCGTAAAATGTCCATCCAACCGAAAATCAACGATAGTCTATTCATAATACTAAACTTTCCCTAAGAAATAAAATATTCAAAATATTTTTTTAAACTATATAAACCGCGCGGTCCTGTAACTAATTTGGTATGAAAAGATTTATTTCCAGATTTCTCCTTTATCTCTTATCGAAAGCGATTCAGTTTAATTAGTATTCTACCAGCCTGTTTAGTATACCCTACTACTAATCCTGTAGTTCTCTTATTTCATGGTTTTATCAGCCCTAGTAGAATTCTATAATTATGTTTACGGATGCCAAATACTAACAGATTAAAATTATATGTCAATTTGATACGACGCCTAAAGAGCCGAAAGCATACTTAACTCTGCACAATATCCACAACACTAACTCTAAATTGACCTTTAACGTCTAACAAATAAGAATACATTTATTGGAAAACGGAATCTTTTCTTTATAATTATCATATTCGAATCAAGGAGGTGTACTCGATTGATAATCTCTTTAATCGGAGTGTCAGGCATCGATACGAGTACTCGATACTGATTCGATGCCCATTAGTACCGTCCAATCTGTCGATTCATCCGATTTAGTTTTCCATTGATTCGGAATTCTTTGTTTGGCTCGTTAGATGTGCGGATGATTTTTAAAATCTTTTGTACTTGTCTAAGCGAACGTGTGAAAATGTTATAGGAACGGTTCACTGTCTTATTATAATTGTATATTTATTACTAAATTTATCCAGTACGTTGTTAGTGTATTCATAAATGGAAAAAATATCGATTTAGAGTCACGCATCTTTTAAAAAGAAATAATCTCACACCTGTCAGGATAAATGATTTTGCATTTTAAAGTTAATTGTATTTTTATAATACGCGAATTTACAATCAAACAGCTACTTGTAGTGTAAGTAGGTAGGCAACATTCAATTGTGTCAACTTCAGTTGATCTATTCCATAAGATACAGAGTCGTGACAGATTTATACTATAAACTTTAAATATGATCCTATTTAATATTCACTTTTTCTAACACTGATTCAAAATCGTTACTCTTATTTGGACAACACACACACAAATTTATTGATTGATAACATCACAAATTTAATACTGGCAATGTACTATATATTGCCAGTATTAAATTTGTGATGTAATCAATCAATAAATATAGCAAATATAAGGTTTTTAATACTATAGGGGAAGTATGAGTATATGTAATAAAAAATGAGAAGTTAGGGAATTGACGGTAGCTAAAATTTTATTTTTTTTTTATTTATGTAGGTCAACAAACAGTTGTAAATTGTACATCTGGCTTAAGACTATTTTGTAATAATTTTTAGCGAATTTGTCAGCCACTACGTTAACCACTAATTACTGTAATTATATTATGCTGCCTAAGATATGTTACAGAAATCATGCATTCATTATTGACTACAATTACTACTTCTATTATTGTATTATAGTCATTCACTAAAACCATGTATTTTGGTGTAAATTTATCTATACATATAAATAAAATTGGAGTGTCTGTTTGTAACATTGAAATAACCGTTTTTTACTACATGTATATGAATATAAATACGGTACATACACCAAAATAACATTTTTTTCAATTTTTGTCTGTCTGTCTGTCTGTTTGTTCCGGCTAATCTCTGAAATGGCTCGACCAATTTTGACGGGATATTTTTTGGCAGATAGCTGATGTACTAAGGAGTAACTTAGGCTACTTTTATTTAAGAAAAATTTCATTTTAGAAAAAACAGATAGTTTTAAATAATATTATAACTTAATTAATACTGAAGAACTTATAGGTATCTTTAATACACATACAGACGTATATCTAGAAATAACATTGTAATTTAACAACATGGAAGGAAATATGCTGAACTAATTCCGCGGATGGAATCGCTCGCATACCGGGGGGAGGCAAAGACGTTGTTAACCGAAATTAAGCTCATCAGCGGAGCAGCGGTTGGAGGCTGCGCGGAGTTCAATAATTTATTGTAAAATTTATTTCCAACTTTTTAATGAATACCCTTCCTTGTCTATGGGCCCGAAATTGAAATGACAAAGTGCGACCATTTCATTTTACTAAATAAAAAAAAACTTGGATCTAAGTTAAACTTTCAGTACTAGCAGTGCCAGCGGTTTCACTCGCGTGAAATTTATAGTCTATGTGTTATTCCGATGTATAAGCTATATATTACTGTAAAGTTTCATCAAAATACGTTAAGTACTTTTTCGTGAAAAAGTAACAAACATTCATCCATACTTACAAACTCTCGCGTTTATAATATTAATAAGATACGTCTAAAACTGCGATTATATGATTTGAATGGCAAGAAAGTGGACGTCCCATCTGATGGTAAGTGGTAACCGCCGCATATAATATAAACAGCACTTATGTGTTACCTTTCTAATGGACTAAGATGTCATGCCTCCTGTAATTTTACTACCTTATCTCATCCACAGCAACACAGCTTACAAAAACAGCTGCTTGGCGGTTAAAATAGGCAATACTGAGGTACTCACGCAGACGACTTCGTATAAAGTTTAACAAAATAAAAAAACAATTCATGTAGGTTTATTACAGACTCTTATGATATGTCAAATCTACCGTCAGTTCGAAATAATGTAGATATGATATGAACTAACAAGATCTATCTCGGTGATTCAACATACATGGGCACTCTATTCTCCCAAATTTGAATTTAAAAAGGAATCATGTACAACATATATTTGCAAAGAATGTGAGTTCAATTTCTTCTCAGTTCTTCTCATCTCGAAATCATTCCGAACTGACGGTAGATTTGATACATCATAAGAGTCTGTAATAGACTTACATGAATAAAGATATTTTGAAGTTTACAATTTGAATTTGTAAGTAACACTGACCTTCTGAGCACACCCCCGAGTAAGGAAGCATTGAGACATTCTGGTGGTGACAGTCGTCTCTGCACTTCTGCGACTGTTACTTTGTACTTGCTTGTGGAAGATAGCAGCGACAACCGGCCGGGAACTGAACAGAACACGTCGTTGGGCGCGCACGAACCCGTGCCACCTAGGCCGTCGCGACCTTTCATTGCTGTGTACAAGAACATATGTATGTAAAAAAATATAAATAGAATTCACAAATAAAGTTTATTTGTTTAATTATTAATTTTCGGACATCCTCAGTGGTCTAGCGGTTTAGTACATTGCCTTACTTCTGATGGCCGCGGGTTCGATTTCTTGCACCATGCAAACATTTGTATTCATCAGTATGATCGTTTATATTGGCATGGGTATTTCATATATTTTATATGTATATTGTATGTATTTAGAAAAAAAAATATTTAAGTAATTTGTTTAGTACCCATAACACAAGCTCTGCTTAGTTTGGGACCAGATGGCGCTGTGTAAATTCGGACACTTTACACAGCGCCATCTGAGTTATTATTATTTGTAAACGAGAGGTGCAAGCATAAGTTTCACTATATATAAAAGTCAATTGCCGAAATTCTGTAAGTGCGTTACCATTTTTGTGCATATTTTATTTCTCATTAGTAAAGTAAAGTAAAGAAAAAGACATTTTTTATATACGTATTGATTGTATAAAAAAATACGCCAAAAATGCTCAATTAATTTTCATAGTTGAATAATTTTTGCGCACAGTCTGTAACAAAAAAGTTACATGATATACAAGACATATAATAAATGCACGGTACGAGTATTGAGTACCAACATAAAAAAATATGGGTGATTATAAAATTCCCGGCTCCGAATACCAACAATGGCACTCTTAACAATCACTGCCACGCCCCAAACATGCTCTCAGCATGATCACCATTCTCATTGTAATATTTCTCTATGGCAACCCTAATACAATAAACATTACTATATCATTAGTTCTGCACCATACTGGCTATTTAACACCCTGCCTTTTCAAATTACAAAAACCCTCGCGTATTTATTAGCTTCCAATTACGTGAAAATATCAACGTTCGTTTTTTGACTTTTAATATATATTCGCGCCTATTTTTTTTTTTTTTTTTTTAAATGCGTACCCAGATAATCACTTAGATGCTATAAATATTACTAATAATACGAAAAAACAAAGAATTTATATGGTGTACATAATTTACTAATCTATACATATAAAAAAAACTGGAGTGTCTCTTTGTAATATTGAAATAACCGTTTTTTACCGTTCATTTGCATTCATATGCATGTAGCATATGAATACAAATACGGTACATACACCAAAATAACAATTTTTACATTTTTTGTCTGTCTGTGTGTTTGTCTGTTTGTTCCGGCTAATCTCTGAAATGGCCGAAGCGATTTTGACGGGACTTATTTTGGCAGGTAGGTGATGTAATAAGGACTTAGGCTACTTACGCTACTTTTATTTTAGAAAAATAAAGTTAAATTCCACGCGGACAAAGTCACCGGTACAGCTAGTATTATATGGATAGAGAGAGAGACAAATAGCGGGTTTGTTATGAGAAACGAAAACTTTCGATTATTGTTTAATCCACTGAACTTTGAAAGTACAAATGAAATTAAATCAATATATCTTTATTCATGTAGGTCTATTATAGACTATTATGTGTCCTTTAAATTCAAATTTGGGAGAATAAATAGACCATCAGCGTATGCTATTGCCATTATTTATTTTCACATATATTTTATCAAAAGCAAATAGTCTAATCAGTTTTCTTAACCCAGATAGATCAGTCCCTACACGCAGCACCCATACATTTTTCAGAGAAACATTGAGTATGTTGAGTTATGCCAATAAAAAAAACTCACAAAGTTATGAGCATCCGAGTATACTGGGATGGACCAGTAACATTATAAAATGAATTCATTTCCTAAAGACCTATGTTTGTATATAATGGTACAAAGTTAAGGCAAGACACCATGTTAAGTTTGGTGTTACTGTACTTTGAAAAATTCAAATTGCATTCGGATTCATTACCAAATACGAAACGCTATTCAAATATAGATTGATTGATCGGTACTTTTATTTCTTCCGTACCGATTCATTCGGCCGTTGAATGAGATGGATTTTTTACAATCTACTTAGAAAAATTGATACACCTATCCGATAAGTGAGGAATGAGGCCTAATTACAGTGTTATCTGTGCTGGGTCATCGGTGGAACAATAAAAATCTTTGATAAGTTAATAATATGTATTTATTTTATCGCTCCGATTCAACTGTGCTTCGTGCAATTTAAGATAATCATACAAAACAGGTACCGTCGGAAGACATGTTTAATGTTAGCGCACGAGAAATTGAATATCAAGTATTTTCCTTTTTTTGGGATCGTTTTTAATAATTAGTTAATAAGATTAGGATTAATTAAATCTCTCTGTCTAACTCATATGAGATCAGGCTTGAAGATAGAAAGATAACATCTAAATATATATTTTAGTTGAATCATCGTGATTAATGTTTAATTCATTGCTAATATTATAAATGCGAAAGTTTATCTATCTGTTTATGTTACCTTTTGACTTGATCCTTTAATCTTTCCATAGTATAAAACAAAGTCGCCATCGCTATCTGTTCGCTTATATCTTTTAAATTATGCAACGGATTTTAATGCAGTTTTCAGCAGTAGATAGAGTGATTCCAGAGGAAGGTTTAAATGTATAATACATACATTTAAACCTTCCTCTGCGTGTTAGAGTATAGAACAAGCCGAGAAATTTAAAGATTTAATGTATCCGTACAACCCGGGGCGGGTCGCAAGTTCGTCATAAAGACAGATTCTTTTCATAATGATATATTATTTTACAAGGACGGCCGTAGGCTATGTCTTACCATAAAATGCAGACGAATTCGCGAATAACAACTAATTATTTATAACGTGGCAATCCTGCAGAATTTCAAGTATTTTAACACAGATTAATCGACTCATTCATTGGATGTAAATAAAACAACAAGTGCGTGTCGGGTACGTATTAAGTTAAGGTTCTGTAGTTATGTGTTTGAAGATAATTGTCACGAGAATATGATAATTTTAAAATGATAAATGATAATAGTATATGTTATAATAATAAACATAAATTAAATAAACTGTATAAGTACTATTTATTCAAAGAAAGCGTTAAAATTAACAAATAAAACTTTCTTAAATTGTATTTACTACTGATATGCTCTACATAATAATAATACTATTTACTAAATATATGATTACATTTGTATAAATAAATATTACATATTTGATGGTATTGTACTGTTATTCCCACAACTGTAAAGTTTTTTCAACTAATTGCTGGCACTTAAGGGAAGGTTACGCAGGTATAGTACTCAGAATAACTTATAGTAAGAGCGCGAAATAGAACACAAAAAATGTACACACATATACACACACACACACATACATTCAGTAGACTTTATAGTAAAAATTCTGCTTAGTTAGAAACACGTTCTTTGCCGTTGTGTAATGGGTTACTTATTTGTAAATCATCACAATAATATTGTAACATTGTAACCAATTTACTCAGTCTTGACTTGATTGAATTTGAAAAGTAGTACAGTATAAAATTGGATTAGATTCAAATTGATATTGTGGTTATAGTCACAAGTAAATCAGTAGATTAAGATTTTTAAATGCAATTTATTAAGAGTTATCTACGGTATTCCAAATTCAAATCAAATATAGTCATAGATCAAAAGTGTTTTTTTCGCAAACGCCGCTACTGTCATTGGTAGAGTCATAAATAAACTGTATAGTTAGTTATTGCTTAATACAACATTAAAAAATAGAAAGTTGATTTGGGTGTGTATTTTACCAAATAATGTTGCCAGTTTTCAAACGCTATAAAACGTTTTTCGTATCTTTTATGCAATTATATGTTTTATTACTCCCTATTAATTTGATTAATTAGTTGACCGTTAAAAGCATTTTAATTAGTTGTAAAATAATAATAATGTATAATATTTTTATTATAGTCTACTTACTTTTTAATAACGGAAGATCTGTCATAAACCCACTAGTGTCGTCCATGCCTGTATTCTAGAAAAAAAAAGATAAATATATAAAATTATTTCCAGTGCAATTAATTACATTTTGAAGTAGAAAATGTAGTACAAAAAAGATGTTTTAAGTATATAGAATTTACAGAAAAAGGCAAAAATTCCAACGTTGTGATGCTTGAACCGGGTTTTTAATTTTCTTGGCTTATTATTAAATTCCTATTGGACTGTCGGACATATTTCTTGACCGTCGCCCGGAACTCGCGAGGGGGCTATTGAAAACAAAGTAATTGGCATTTTTGTAGTCAATATTATCGGTATATAAAAAGGGACGCTACAGCTATGATCGGAAATAGTCTTGATGCTGAACAAATTTTACATAATCTAAGATGTCCCACAGATGTTTTATATTTTGCTAACACATAACGAAAAAGAAATCTAACACAACATAAGAAGAAAATTTTTATTAATTAAAGAAATTGCATCCCTTTTAACAAAATTACTTCGTATCCATTTAAATAATTAATACATTTTTTATTTAAAATATCCTGCAGGTACAAAAAATAAATATAAGTTTAGAGGTCACTGCAAACGTATGGAAGGCCTTATGGAGCGGCTGAAAGCTAACTCCTGCCTAACGACTTCAGTTTAAGGGCATCATTAAACCTGGGTTGAGAGCATCGTAATTTCGATCTCCGTTAAGTTGGACAAGGAATTCATAAATAGTACATTCTATTATTAATAGAGAAAGCGATGAAAAGTATAGAGATATTAGTAATATGGTAATAGGGACTAGTGGTAACAATGAAAGTCACGTCCAAGTAATATCGTTGGCAACCATCGAGGTTAAGTAGTACGTCACTATACGCTAATTGATCAGACTTCATCTGACTGACCTGACTTTATGACTGGTGTCCTGTTAGTATACACTAACAGGACCATAACACTAACCCTCCCACATCAAGGGTATACACCCTTGATGTGGGAGGGTGCACCAATCCATTAGAATAAAAAATAGAATATATATATAGAATAAGTCCCATAATTCTTTCAGTGATCTTTGACTCACTTACCGGCGTTTCTTCGGCTGAGTGTAGTGCATGGTGTAACGCTAACTCGTGTTGTTCCCTTGCACCGTAGTCTGCTCGTCTTTCACCGCCACCATAGCTGAACCCGCCGTGTGACAACTATTTAAAAAAAAACTTAATTTTAACTTAAATATTGAATGAAGGTACGCCTACATACAGGCAATTTTCTTTACATAATATAATTGTTCTTAATTGAACGAAGGGAATATATAAATAATAAAATATAAATATAATAATTCCATTATACAAGACAACAATTGTATTTCATTATTATCTAATAATATACTTATTTACATTGTGTGGTACTCTTACTATAGTAGTATGCAAGTATTCTTCTTTTTTAATAACCTGAGTAGCAATCAAGCTGACGGCTCAGCTGCTGGTAAGTGGTGACCGTTAACATTCATATGTTAAGGTGATACCCAATGTGTATAAGCATAACAAGCTCGTGGTACCATCCGTTGCCATTTCGGAGGACTAAGGAGGACAGATCCTGTAACTTCACGGTTTAATACTCACTGCAACCTTCTACCGAAACACGCTTACATTGCAAGTCGCTTGGTGGCTAAAATAGGTGAGCCTGATATACACCCGATGACTTTTAACAAGTTTGTTTAGAAAATCCTTTTCATTTGTTTAGTTTAGAAAATAGAGAATGTACCTATTTGTTAATCGATAATGGCTAAGCAACCTGAAGAGTAAATAGACATGAAAATAAATGTCATTTTTTATGTTTTCATAAATCGCTGTTCAATAACAAAATGACATCTAGTTTCCCTCCAAAAGTCGTCCGCTATTGTGTCGAGTAGCCGTTCACTGGAACCGGAACATTACCAACGGCTAATCTGCTAAAGTGGTGACGATGTATTGTTGGCTAGAAATATTATGAGCCTGAGCACGGTATTGTAGAAAAGAAAATATTGTTGGAAAATTTGAAATTGGAATGTAGCTATAGATGAGACAAAATTTATAGTAGCCAGAATCAGTATTAGAGACATAATTTCATTAATTTTCTTGATTGAAAAGGTTCTATGATATACATTTTTAAAATGAAATATATTGTCTACCTTATATGGCGTCCAAGCCAATACTATTATACCTTCAATTAAATAATGACTAAATAAATACACAAAAACTGTTGTAGTTGGTTTGTTTAGTGATTTAACGAGTCAACAAATTTTCAGTCCATAATGAATTTAACTGAATACACAGGTAGACTTTTCACATTTTTATAATTAAATACGTTGTTACAAGAATATAAATCTACCACATTTTATTTACATTAAATAATTAACCTAAAATATTAGTTCATCATATAGGTAAAACAATAAAGTATGTTGGAAATATTTACAACATATTGCTTATTATATAAGGTATTTTGATATTGGATAATTTTGATCCTATAATCTGTTTCAAATTAATAATATAATTTTGGCAGTAAGTCACGAGGGTAACGAACTATGCCGAGATTCTTTCACGAGGGTGCGTAGAGGGGCTCCTGCAAAATAGTTTTGCCGCGTTATCTAGGGAAAGTGGAAACTGCTTACATTTAATTAAAATAGATCTAATATTTTGAGATGGAAATCTCAACAAAATTAAAGTTCCGACTGCTAATAAGTATATCTAAACAAAGTGGGTCAGTTCGCTTGTTTTTGGACTATGTAACAGTTAGAAGGGTAAGAAGAAAAGGCGGGAAAAGGGTAAGAAAAAATGGGTAAGGAAATATGGCATGAAATTGGCTACGGAAGCTAACAGCTTAGGTAGAGCAATGCACGAGTCACGGCGTCTTTTCATGAATATATAATGTAATATCTCAGTACAACTCACACAGCGCCATCTAGTCATAAGCCAAGCAGCTTGTTATATGGGCACCAGACCACTAATATAAATCCATAGATACTTTTTTTTGTACATAGAGAACAACCAGACAAACAATCTTACTCATGAATACAAATGTTTGTACCGTACGAGGAACTACAAACTTAACGGGCCAGATGAGAGGCGAAATGCAGAGAGTAGAGTCATTATTACATATTACATTACCGTACGAGGAATCGAACTCGAGACCATAGGAAGTAAGGTGTTTTTTTTTGAGGGTTGATAATGGAACGGTGCCATCGCCAGCGCTGACGGTATACGCTGGCATCAGTGGAGACAAGATATGATAAGATGACTATAATGTCAGGTCAATTAGCCCATTGTGACAAATTCACCAGGAATTTACTATGATGGTTTCCAGGGAGAACCGTGTGGACGTCAACCTGACATGGTAAAATGCTAGCAATGGGGTTATCATTCTACATTACTAACAATCCCTTTCCCCCAGAATGTAAGCGTTGTCCAAAACCGCTAGATCATTAAGGCTGTAATATGGATTAGAACTTACGGGTGAACATGTAACGCGTTGTGGTGGTCTCTGTGGTGACGTAGGTGGGCGTGCGGCTCGTGGTGGCCGTGGGCGTTACCTAAACCGCTTGATCAACGAGGATGTAATATGTATTGGAACTTACGTGGTGAGTATGTAACGCCTCGTGGTGGTCTCAGTGGTGACGCAGGTGTGCGTGCGGCTCGTGGTGGCTGTGGGCGTTACCTAAATCGCTTGATCAACGAGGCCGTAATATGGATTGGAATTTACGTGGTGAGCATGTAACGCGTCGTGGTGGTCTCTGTGGTGGCGCAGGTGGGCGTGCGGCTCGTGGTGGCCGTGGTGGCGTGGTAGGAGCTGCTGTGGTGCGTAGTGTTGCGCGTACTCCGCCCCACCACCTCCCCCACCGCCGTACTCCATGCCATGACTCTGCGGGTGGAAATAATTATTGTTGTTGACGTAATGGCCATATAGTTTTATATTAGACTTTATATTTACATTGCATTTATTATATATTTTTATATACTATACGATTTTGTGTCTAATAAAGAATTGTGACAGAGGACAAAAAAATAATAATATCTCAGGGCTTCTCGCACAGCGCCATGTGGTCCCATGGTAAACAGAGCTTGTGTTATGGGTTCTAGACAACTGTTAGAAATATTTTAATACTTTTTCTTTGTAAATACATTTATAATGTACATAGATAAGACCACAATCACAATGTACTGTAATTTTGTTTGTGACAGTGTACTGTCACAAACAAACATACTCATAAATTTTATAATTATTTTATTTTGCATCGTGCGAGGAATTGAACCTGCGACCAACAGAAGTAAAGTTGTGCTAAAGAGCACCGAGATAGACCACCGAGACCATCAAATATGAAATTAATACGTTGTTAGTATAATTAAATAGTATAAAAATGTGAAAATGGCGTTATAAAATGTTATTGGATCGAAATTAGTTTCCTTAGTAAACGACTAGGTATTTTAAATGTAAATGGTAATACCTGTTGCTGATGGTGAGGACTAGCAGGATGAGGTGCAGGCCCGAACGGCGGCGGAAAGTACGGTGGCTGAAAGTCGGCGAGGGAGGGCTGCGCGCCCCCCCTGAACCCGCCGCCGCCCAGACCCAGCCCGCCGCCGCCCAGACGCTCCTGTACAACAAACATTGGAGTCAGCAAATGTGCATTTCTTATGTATCTAGAATTATTTTGTTATTTTTATTAACTAGTGGTCGTTGCCCAGTGGTCAAAATTCGACAATAATTAATTTAAATTATAAGTTTGAACATTATTAAGGTTCTGGGTAAGCGCGCTACATCCTAGGTCTTGCCATCATTTATCATCAGATGAGGTAAGACCAAGCGCAATCCCATTATTAATAAAAAAAAACTATTCTCAATTTGATCACAGACTTTAACAGTAAACAAAAGACTATATATGCATGTTTCAAATATATGTGTATAATGTTTTTTTTATTGATTTATGCATTTTGTATAAATAATTAAATTAGTATTAATCTTCTACACTCCTTTCTATGTATACCTATAATATAGTAAAAGTGTGTATAATTTCATAAAAAGGGAATTTCGCAAAAAGGGGTACCTATAAAATTTTTGCTTAACGTATTAATATATCTATAGTATATAGATATTACAAGGAGGTAAAGTTTGTGAGGTTGTAGGAGGTAATCTCAGGATCCACTGGACCGATTTAGAAAATTATTTCAGCCTATTTATTGAGGAATTATATAGGCTATATAACATCACGCTACGGCCGGCGTAAGCTGAGTTGCATTGAAAAATGTTGCAAAAACATTGTGCGAGCCAGCTTTTATCTATATAATTAAATTTGGTAAACAACCTAAGGTCCACCTGATCATAAGCTAATAACTACTATTAACCTAATAAGAAAGCCAGCTGCTTGGCCGCAGGTATAAGAGAGAAATAGGTATCTTTATAAATTCCAACAAAGCATCAATCACCAATCACCAATCTTGCTACCATCATCAGGTGTAAAGAATAAATACATTCACTAATTACGACGTAATCAACTAATTATTGAGTCACAAATTGGTGTTATGGCAATTTACAGGCACAAAGTGATCATTGTATATCACAAATTAAACGTCAATTTGTATAGGTCTAAGTTTGTAGGGCTGTCTACAGTGAGGCTTTGAAAGAAACTTTCATACAAAAATAATCTTACGAGTCAGACCGTCGCGTCGCGTCGAGTACGTCTATCAATCTGCAAGGCATTAACAGTGAATTAAAAAAAAACATTTGTGTTCTTACTTTTCTCTTTCACAATATAATCAAATATTTTTCTTGTTACATTATTACATACAGAAACGTTTTTGTAGATTATTTTACTTGATATATGTATATTAGTAAACTTTGAAAGTGGCGTCAGAGAATATAAAAATATTAGACCTATAATGAGAATCACTGGCAGTTTTGTATATTCGTTTATCCGTATTTAAAATATGAGAATTATTTTTTTCTTTTATATCACTCCTCTCACGCTGTACTGTTGTAATCTCACAACAACACTCTTTATTTTCAATTAGGTATTATTACTAAAAGTAATCGTTTATCTTGGTATGGACACGTAATGTATTGAAATTATGAGGATATTTTAAATAAAGTGTTGTATATGAATTTGGTTATAAAGGTGGAGGAAAGTTGAAAAAGAAATGGGAGGATTGTGTGAAAGATGATATGACAAGATTGGGAAATGATGACAGAATTACACAAGTTTTATATTAAAACTTCATTGTAACTCAATATAGAGATGAAATATATATATAGATGGCAACCCTGAATAACAGACTTAGTTATCGGCTTAATTATGAAATAGATAAGCATCTAATAGGCACATCGTAATGATATTCCAGCGATCGGTCGGACACGCAAACTCTGAATTAGTTTCTACATATATTTGAGATGTATGCGCAGTAATACGTTTGAAATTACGAGATTTGATTGCTTTGTGTTTTTGTTATTTCTGACTATTATGTTTTTAGTATGCAGATTGAATTAAAAATAAGCGTCATGTAAAAGCGCCGCTCACTCGTCTGTTTTTGTCTATTATTTTTAGATAACAATTAGATTTATGAATGTGGCAACATTAGTGTAATTACACAATGATACGTAGCCAGTTATTACCCGCATTCTTTTTTGGTTTTATCTACTTAGTACAGAACTACTTCATTTTGATTTTAGAAATGTATAATGATTATAAGGTAATTTATGTGTAATATATACGTAATATTGTATTACGTATATAAAGGGACCACGAACTGAGTTTGACTTATACGAAATTTAATATAATGCTCAAGTTATACAAAGCTCATAAATATAGTTCACTCCACCATTCTTTTCATTCATTCAAAGGTTGATTGGAAGAAATCCTTCTTTTGGGACATGTCTGGCATAGATTTTTTTAATATCACTAGTTTCTGTTATTTAAAATGTTTTTACTGTACAATAAAGTGTTACGAATAGATAAAACAGATTATGAGATTTGACTTGTGGCAATAGTAATTAGTTTTATGGTTGTTTAGGGGTTGGTGGTGCAGAGGTGAGCTGTGGACATATATTTGCCGCCTTGGCAGTCACAGGATTGGCCAGTGGCCAGGCCCGTGTTTTTCAGACATCACTTCATAACACGATGAAGTGATATTCTTAGTGCCCTAGCTCTCTGGAATGGTGACATATGTACGTCTTGAAACTACGAAGATGTTCTGCATTTATATCTCCTCTTTAAAACAAGGGTAACAAAGAAGCTTTAGTTGCTGTTTGTTTATAATCCCAGTTTAAAAATAATAATTAACACGTGCCCCACGAAATTGGTATCACTAATTTCAATCGAGCTTTCTGTTAAATGTAGTTCACTCAATACTGATATATCGAGTTGCCGCACCGGACAACTAATCGATTACACTCGATCTAGTTTGGATGTATTTTTTTTAATTTATGCTCACTTATTCATATTGCCGGATGTGCGGTGAAAACTGGATGTGTTGACATGTGTTGTTGCTTAATTTATGTGCTGTAATGGCAGCAAATAACACATACAGAATATAAAAAATACATAAGAACTGTTTAAATAACTTAATAGTATATTAGTAAATAAATAAAGTGACAAATCAGCTTTATTTACAATCGTAAACAAAGTCACAGTTAGTTACTCCGAAACTATAATGATGTGATATTTAAAAATCCGTAGAATAGTCAAGGAAGGCGAGACGCTTTATAACATCACGCTATAACCAATAAGAGCGGAACTGCAATGTAAACTTAATGTAGACAAAATTGGGCGGGTAGACTAGTTCACAAATAAAATAAATCTCTAGTTCCTGTTATTCCAGATGCAGTAGTCAGAGACATAGTCTATGGCCTTTCGGGGTGTCATGAGCTACCAAGTTACAAATATACTTAGTATTAACATAGTTCGAAAAGCACTAGTTTTTATTTATTTATTTTTAATCATGTAATATATCCAGTGACTATTATATGACTACAAATGACGACATAATGATTATTATATCCAGTGATTTGTACGTCAGAATGTTATACAATATGATATATAATCATTCAATCTCATAAAACGAACTCTATCACTTTTATTGTCGATATTTTAATAATCCACTACCTACATACATTTCTAACCTTTGCACCCAAGTGCAGAGGTTAGATCGAGTGTATCGACTCTGTTATTATATATACTTCTTGTATCACTTACTTTAAGGTCTTACCGTGTTACAGACAAACAAGCAATCACTATCATTTGATGGCATCGATGATCTAGCGGTTTTGCACACCGCTTCGGTCGCGAGTTCGATTCCTCGGATGGTGCAAACATTCATGACCATGATAGTTTGTATCGGTTTGGGTGATTTCTGTATATATTATGTATGTATTTACAAAAAAAATATCTGAGTATTTATATCAGTTATTACTTGTGTTATGGGTACTAACCATAATACAAGCTCTGCTTACTGTGGGATTAGATGGCGCTGTGTTAATTGTTCTGGGTTATTATTTCGTGTTAATATAGTGTTATTGAGGACATGAACCTTTTACCTCTGTTGGCGATATTTTAGTTTGTTTTTATATTTAATTTCATATTTTGAACCATGTTTTTTATTTACAGTTTTTGACAGTATATATGTTCTCTATTCTTTTTCTATTGCTGTGTATAGTGTACTAAATTATATCGCTAAGGATTGCTGAGTTGTTTATTTATTTTACCTGCCGTTGCCAGCCGTATTATTCTTTTTTGAAGTCGGTTAATAAATGAGTGACAACGGTACACGTCACGCGTGTCGCAAGATTATGTTGTCTATATGATTTAGTATCGGCGGTTCATCGACTCACCCAATAACTGTTACACTCGTATGTTATAAACAATAATGAAAAAATCATTTCGAAAGAACTTCTATAAAAAAAGTCGTCAGGTTAGGTTATAAAAAACTACGTGTTATAATTATAATAAAAAATATTTTTGTTTGCAAATGGTGAGGCGATTATTAGCAATGAAGTTTTTAACAAATACTTGTTACTAGGACTTGCAGTAGGACTTCTGTAGCAGGCTTTTTGGAATACACTCCTGGTTAAATCTAGAAATTGATCAAATTATAACGGCTTAATTGACAATACTACCTGACCCTATCAACCTTCATTGTTGCCTCTTCAGTGTATATTTTATAAATGTAACTGGAATTGTCTATAGCCTGTCGATTTCAACAGCATCACTCAAATTCTGAGATATGAGATAGAGGTACTCAAAGATAATAATAAAATGATGTCTCAGGGCAATTCACACAGCGCCATATAGTGCTAAGGTAAGCAGAGCTTGTGTTATGGTTACTAGATAACTAATATAGATACTTAGATAAGTATATATCAGATCCATACAAAGTACCATACTCATGAATACTGTATTGTGAAATATATGTACCTTGCGAGGAATGGAACCCGCGACTATCGGAAGTAAAGCGGTGAACCGCGAGACCACCGAGGCCGTCTATTAGATATACCATTAGGTCACATGATAACCATCCCATCATTATACAAATCAAAAAACTTTCATATTAATAAGTACCGCGTTATTGTTGACTTTATCAAGCTATTCGACAACATTAGATGACC